TTGGTTATAGGTCCAAACGCACACAGAATATGACCCACCAGAAAAAAACCGCTCGGAACAAGTGCTTTCAACAAAAAACAAAAAACAAAAAAAAAAAAAAAAAAAAAAAAAAAAAAAAAAAAAAAAAAAACGCGAGAGAATCTGTACATGTGCATAAATGCTGCTGACATTTTTCATTCGCGAGTACCAATGACCGATTATGGTCGTCACCCTCCCACGCTCTTGCTGGCTTGGAATATGTCAAAACGCACATAACCACGTTATTCGCGTGACCTAGAAGGCCTACGCTGTGACTCCTTGGTTGATCCTAGGGATGGGTTACATATGCGTTCGCCTGGGGGGGTATGGTATGGGCCAGGCCCCATGAAGTCAGAGAAATTTCTCTGATTTGCCTATAAAAGTCTGATTTCTCAGACTTTTTTTTTTAGTGTTGTCTGTTAAATTCAGACTTTTTTTTAAGTGTTGTCTGTTAAATTCAGAGTTTTTTTTAAGCCAAGTCTGCAATTTCAAAGATGTTTTTGAGTGTACTCTGATAATTCAGAGTCAAATGCGTACGGACTCTGAAACTGATTCAATGTACCTTGGCACCGACACCCACGATTTGCGCTAGTACGTATACCTGGGTGGTCAATCACGCGTAACCTGGAACCACACATCAACAGTCAAGTTTTGTGGGCGTGGCCGCCATGCGACGCGGTTTTTTCTATGTAAACACCAGCGCACACCCTGCTAGAGCACCGATTGGTCCTTATGGCAGCTTTTGTGTGCCATCACGGACCGGCCTTGCACCCACGATGCTGCACTAGCCACCCACGACACAACGCTGACAGCATTGCACTTCTGACGCGCCTCGTCGTTGTCGTGCATGCTAGGCAACCACCCATCCACCTCAACGGGTCCTCCTTGTCTTGTCTATTGCCATCACCTTTCAGCTAGGGTTTCATCCACACCCCCTAGCTGGTGTTGACTGGCCTCAGCCAGTCCCTTGTTCTGCCTCGCGAACACATTTCTTGCTCCTTCTCGGCAGGCTCTTTTTGAACCCCACCATGGCGGTGCTGGACAATCCCGGCTCCACCGATCCCGACCCTGATTCCCAGCCTGCCTTAACAGGCTTAGACTTTCTTCTCAGTACGTTGGAGCTTGACAAGGCAGCACGCGCCACGCCCGATACGATCCCCACACAGAAAGAACCCACGGCACCGGTTATCTCACTCTCTGCCAAACCTGTGGCAGAGACACCTGCGGAACCAACTGTGGGTGCGGCCTCGCAGCTTTCGCCTCTGACCACGGCGCGCACGATTTGGCTCAAGCAGGCGACATTGGGCTTCTGCAAGGCATCGTCGTCGTCCGCCGACGTCAACGCCCCCGGAACATCTGAGGCGACCGCGTCCATGCCTTTACATCAACCTGGACGAGCTCATCGAAGAAGTCTACGATGAGGCGATAGACAAGTTCAAGAGTCTCTGATCTGCTCGTTTTCCGTGGCTTCGGATCACTAAAGTCGCCTCTGGTTTGCCTGCGTTCAAGTGTACTTCGTGTGTGTTATTTGCTGGCAATGCAGGCAAATGCGGGAGGAGTGGGAAAGGTGCTACCAATTTGCAGACACAGTCGTTTCAGAAACATGCTGGCACGGCGAAGCACAAGCTGGCGATGGCGAGGTTGACATCTGCGCAGGAGTGCCGGGCGACGCAGCCGCTTATCGACCAACATCGCGCAACAGTTGATACTGAGAAGCTGCGCGTCATCGCCCTTCTCGACTCGTTGCTGTTCGTCAGCAGGTCCGACGCGCCCATGGGGATGTGGGTGAAACTGGTGCGGTATCTGGCGGAGAAGGGCGTGGAGGGCTTCTCGAAGAAGGGGTACGGCACGTACTATACGACGTGAGTGATGAACACTTTATGTGAGCTGCTGTAATAATGTGTGTCTCCAGTAAGTACGTCAATGATTTGATACTCACTGTTGTTTCTTGTTGCAGACACGGCTTCGGTGAGCTGACGCAAGCGACGGCGACATGGCTCCAGACAACCTAGTTGGATCACATCCTGCTGTCGCCCTTCGTCGGCATCTCGATCGACGAGAGCACTGATAGGTGCAGCGGGAAGCACCTTATCATCTTCATCACCTTCATCCGCGAGTTCAAGCTTGTCACGGAGTTCATGGCCCTACTCACCGTGGACAAGGCCGACGCAGCCTCTCTTCTGGCTAGCTTGGTGTCACACCTGCAGGCGGTGGGGATCGACCTTCAGCGCATTGCAGGCATCAGCACCGACGGTGCGGCAGTCATGATGGGCAAACAGGTTGGCCTCACGACACGCCTCCGCCTGCGCATCCCACATTTGGTGTCGTCCCACTGCATCGCGCACAGGTACAGTCTGGAATGTTTGTGCCTAATTGTGCAGTGCAATGTTTACATATTCTATTTGACAGTCTCACTAATGTCCTTCACTCGTGTTGTACAGGGAGGCAGTGGCGGCTAAAATTGCCGCCGAGAAAATCCCCGCCTTCAACGTCATTGACAAGGTGATTCGGACAGTGGCAGAGCATCTCGGCCGCTCTAGGCCATGGCACTAGTGCTTCATGGGCTTGCAGGAAGTTTTCACGTCAACTTCACTCGACCTGCAAGGCATTCATACCATCCGCTGGCTATCGAGGGGTGACGCGGTGCAGAGGCTTCTGAAAGTGTTGCCGGCTCTCATCGTGATGCTTAAGGAGTGGGACGCGGAGCTGTATGTGCTCGTGATAAGCTACAGGTTTCACTTTCTCCTGTTTTTCATAGCTGACGTGCTTGAGCAGCTCAACATCTTGAACAGGGCCTTCCAGCACAAAGAGGTGAGCTCAATGTTATAGTGTACTATCATTGTTGTTACATGCTCGGTCAATATCCTCTTCTGCTAAGTTCTAGTGCTGCTTCTTTCCAGCATGCTTACCGTGCGCATGAGCTAACTACCTTGTGCCTTGTTTCTGTCCAGCTTGACTATGTGGGCGTGCATGCGCAGATCAAGCGCACAACGTCCCACATCGAGAGCCGCTACGTCGATTGCGGCGACGACTTCGGTGGCGGCGTCAGCGAGCTGCTGTCCCCCTTCATCACGCGCCACGGCCCAGGAGGAAACAAGGAAGTTACTGTCGAGGGTGCCGACTCGGACGGCCGCCCTGCACGCTTCACCTTTAGGCTGCATGAGGACGAGCAATAGGAATTTGATGAGCCTGGGACCCACGATGCTTGCATTGAGGTCTGCACCCAGTTCGCCGAGGTGATCGTGCACCAACTGCTTCATCGGCTTGGCGATCTGGAAGGGATGTCTGGGGCAAGCCTATTCACCCCCGACGAGTACCCGCTGGATCGAGGAGAGAGGAACCGCAGGTGCATGGAGTGGCTGGAGTCGCTTGTGGCCCTTTTCAAGGCCGACTAGACCGAGGAGATCCTGCCCGGTAAGCCTATGTTTGTGTAGTTCTCATGTAACTGTTGTAATTGGCATTGCATATATTGTGCTTCACTGTATATTCACTAAGCTCTTCCTCCCCCACCAGGAATCAACAAGCGTCGCGCGGAAAAGGAGCTGCGCATGTTCTCCTCGGTGCTTGCAGGAGCCACGAAGAACGAGCGCAGCTTCCACGCCGGGCTCACTGCCATGCTCAAGACACCCGACTGGCGGGACAACTACCCCAACCTCGTGCTTCTGTGGGTTGCAGTAGCCGTACTGCCGCTGAGCACAGTGGAGTGCGAGCGGGGATTCTCCCGCCAGAACATCATCAAGTCGTGGCAGAGAGGCGCGCTAAAGATGCACGCCTAGGAGACCTCATGTGCATGAGTCTCATGGACTACGAGCCCAAGTGGGATGAAATTGTGACCATCTGGAGGAGCTACAAGAAGCGCAAGCCCCAAAGCAACGCTCCACTCCCGCCTGCAGGAAGGCAACAGAGCAAGAAGAGTAGGGAGGTTGATGACGAGACGGAAGTGGTAGACTTAGACGCTGAGAAAGATGCAGTTGACAGTAATGATGACGATGGATTTGCTGCTGATCTATTCTAACTGTGATCTTGTGAAGGCTAAGCAGCAGCATTAGTACGGTAGTAGTACCGGTAGTAGAGTAGTACTAGTATGAATGTAGGCAAAGTTGTATGAGAAGTGGAGTAGGCTTGCTTCAATATGACTACTAGGGCTACAACAAGCAGAATCAGACTTTTACTTACTCTGAAAGTTTCATACTTTTTTTTAAACACACTCTGATGTTTCAGACTTCTTTTTTAGACAACTCTGAGGATTTCAGACTAATACTGAGAGAGAGTCTGACGAATCAGACAGGCCAAAAACGAATCTGAAGGCCTGGTATGGGCGCACGGACCCGCTTCTCAACAAGCCCTTTGATCCAAGTGGGCTAGTAGTAACTACAATTCTGACAACCCTACCCTGATGTTTTTCCCAGCTATACTCCTGCTTTGCTCGTGGTATTCCCACTCTTGCTTGTCTTCCTCGTATAGATTTGTACTGTTTTCTCCGCTCACGCCTTTTGCAAACCTTGCTCCCTTTCTGAACCTCTTCCTTTGACACCCTTCATTGACCAACTCGCGACGCATTCCCTTCACCTCTCATTAATTCCCCGGTCCAAATATCTTTTGGCTACGCTGCTCTACCAGCTTTTCTTGCTACACTTATCACTGAACTCAGGTTTTTCGTCCAAGGAAAACATACGGCAGTAATGTATGTCTGGTGTTGATAAAGATCATTGTCTACAATTCAGGCTTGCTCATTAGAAAAAGTTTTGACGCTTACGGGCGATGCTTTTGGGGCGTACTCACCGAATTTGTGCCTGCTTGCGCTTCTCATCGCGCACGTGAATTTCCTTGTTGCTCGCACGCTGCAAGCACTGATTTCCGTCTTACCATTCCACTCGTCCTCTGCTTGTTTCCTAACTTCGCCATCATTAACGTATCAGCGTCCTCTTTATACTTTCCCAGCCAATAGTAATCCCTTCGCGCTTAGGCAGTTAATTATCCGCATGGAGCCCGTTCCCGCAGACGTTCTTGCTGCGCCCGCCAGCGGCTGGGCGGGCGGCGGAGATCTCGAGGCGGAGTTGGCGGAGATCGGCGCGCAGCTGGAGGCGGTGGCGGCTGTGCGCGACGATCTGCGCGCGGCGGTGCAGCGGATGGACGGGCTGACGCGGCAGGTGCAGTCGGACCTGCTGGGCGTGCATCGGCGGCAGGAAGGCGCAGGTGCGTGGAGGGGACGGAGAGACCATGAGGAAGAGACGAGCGGGCGGTGCGAGTATGGGCGCGCCTGATGCAGCAGCTACAGTCGCGGATCTTTTAGTCGATTCCGGGATAGTGGCGCTCTGTCGCAGTGAAACGTTGGAGGTAGTGTGAGAATTTCGTACCACGTGTGTACCCATCCAGCATCCTCCCCTCCTTCCCTCCGAACCGTTATCACCCTTCTCCTCCCCACACTCTCCCCCCAACCCCACCCACCCCGGCCCCCTCCCGGCCCCCACCTCCCGCAGTGCAGCAGGAGGTGCAGAAGGCGCAAATGAGATTCTTGAGTGTGTTTATACGATTGCGCCCTTCCCTCCCTCTGAACCACTGTCACGCTTCTCTTCCGCAATCCCCGTTTCCTCCCCCCCTCCCCTCCCCCCCTCCCCTCCCTCCGCAGTGCAGCAGGCGGTGCAGAAGGCGCGGGAGAGCGTGCCAAAGCTGCAGGCGGCGTATGCTGAGCTGGCAGCAATCATTGCTCGCCGCCCGGGCGAGTTCTACAGGTGCGAGTGCTACCAGACCCTGCCACGGGTCCCTCAAGCAAGCAAAGGTCAATTGCAAAGTTACCTTAGTCATCTACTGATTTACATGCGTGTGCCATGTGGATGCGATTCTCTTGTGAACACACATGGCTGGTACTGTCTACGACTTGCATTCCTGACTCTGTACATCCCCTTTCTCTGGCTTATACCGAGTATGAACTGCAGATTCACTCCGTCTTGCTGAATGTTTTCTCGCAACCAACAGGTTCAGCGACCACTGGCGCAGTCAGAACCACACGGTGGTGTCCCAGCTGGCGTTCGCTCATTGGCTGGACTCTGGAACGCTGCTCTCACATAAGCAACTAGAGGAACAGCTACAGTGTAAGCCACTGTAGAATACGTTTCGTTACTGTATAAGCTACTGTATACTCTATTTGAGATTTCTGATATCGGGCTTCTGGGTGAGGGCAGCTCTTAGAGAGCCTTTTCATGGTTTCTCTCAACCCCCTCCCCGTACACTCAGTGTCGCAAAGATCAGGCTCCCCACCACTATCCTCCCGTCCCCCTCACTCTCCCACTCCACCCATGGTGCGTGTCCCTCAGTGCGGGCAGCATCGTTCAGCATCGATCTAGAGGACTATCTCACCGGCCTCTGCGGTCTCTCCAATGAATTCGTGAGCTCCACCCCCCTCCACCCTCCTCCACCCTCCTCCACCCTCCACCACCCTGCTCCACCCTTCCCCACCCTCCAGTATCCCCCCATGCTCGCCATCCCACCCCCGTGTGCTCTGCTGCCCTCTCATTGCTGCTCGTTGCGTTGTCTCCGTCCCTTGTTGATTGCATTATCCCTGTATTCCTCAGGGGCTGTGTTGTCTCCACCCCTTAGTCACCTCTTTGCAGCTTCCTCACAAACCATAACGTGACTCCCCCCCTCTCTCTCTTCCCTCCTTCCAGCCTCGCTCCGTGATGAGCAGGGTAACAGAGGGCGACTGTGCATGCAATCCTCAAGTGGCGACTGAGCGTGCCCTCGAGTGAGCTGCATTCCTCAATCGCCTCATTGCTACCATGCATCCACCTGTTCCCCCACTGCCCCTGCCCCTCTCACCTGCCTCTCTCGCCCACTGCCTCTCTCTCCCCCCTCATCTCAGCCGCGCTTTGTGATGAACAGGGTAACCACGCTGTCCCCCGAGTGGCGGCTGCACTCCTCAGCAATCTCTTTGTTGCCTCTCTGGTCATGCACCTGTCCCCTCCCCCGTCTGCTTTCGCCCCTACCTCCCACACCAGCCGCGCTTTGTGATGAACAGAGTGACAGCAGGGGATTATGCTGTCCCGCGAGTGGCGGCCGCCTTTCTCAACGACCTCTTCGCTGCCTTCCGCAAGCTCAACCTGCGCAACGACATGCTCCGCAAGCGATTCGACGGTGCGTGGGTAGATGGGGCGATGTTAGATTAGATTCGATCTGGTGGGTGGGTGCACATGTGACTGCCTCATCCCTGCCTTTGCCAAGCTCTCAGCCTTGGCACGAAGGTGGAGGAGGGGGTGATACATCACGTGGAGATAAGGCCAGGGGGCTGACCAGGAGCGCATCTGTCTAAGCTCTTCTAATTCGCTTTCTTTCTCTGTGTGCCCCCGATCCCTCCATGTCTTCCACATGCCTCCTGCTGTGGCATGCCCTGCAGGTATAAATACGACCGGAAAAGGAAAAAGGTGGAGAAGGTGGTGCACGAGGTGCAGATAACAGGGGTTGGTGGTGGCAGGGGGGCATCTATCAATGCGTTTCTTTATGTCCTTTCTCGCATGCACACCTCCCGCTTGCAGGCATCAAGTACGGCCTGAAGAAGGTGGAGGAGGTGGTATATAATATGATGTGAAGATACGAGGGCTAGTGGTGCTGGGAGGGCATGTGTTTCTTATGTCACTCTCTGTTCTCTCTCTGCGTACCCCACAGGCATCAAGTACGACCTGAAGAAGGTGGAGGAGGTGGTGTATGACGTGGAGATACGAGGGCTGGCGAAAACAGCAGCAGAGCCCATGCAAGATGCATAGCGACATTGAGCGTGCAGGTTACTGAAATTGTAAATATAATTGCAGCAAATCAGCTGACAAGGCGCGTCGAGAGGTCACAGGTGAAAAGTGGCACATGTTCGTTGTACAGTCGGTTCAATTTCAGGGTAGAAGATGCATCTTATATTAAGTGTACTTGGAGCAGTTACGGTAAATTAGGGCATCAGATTACCGTATCAGAGTCAATGTGAAGCAATGAGCTCTCACTCCCCCACTTCCAACACCTCTCCTACACCATCTACCTATTTACTGAAAGAACCACTCTGCACCTTCCACGCTGCTGCACCTTCCAAAACCCTCTCCTCCCCCATCTGCATGCCAACCTGTACAATCTACACGCTCTCGTATAAGCCGGCTGGAATAAGCACACAACAAGCCGCAGCAGCAACTCCACTGCCTGTATTGGCACGCAGAGAGCACTGTCAAATGGCACCCCACTGCTTGCAAGCGCAGCCCTGCCGAACCTCGCACAGGGACCGCAGCAGTCAGGCAGGCACGGTTCTGCATCGCCATCCACCCGCTCCAGATCCAGATACTGCAGCTTCGGCAGCTGCCTAGGTGCAAAGTTCAGGTGATTTTTCAGGTTGCCCAGGGAATGCAGGGTGAGGGTGTGCAGGGCAGGGAAGGAGAAGTTTTCTGGGAGGGAGGAGATGAGCGGGCAGTTTGAAACTTTTAGCACGGCGAGCGACACTAAGCCCGGGTGTTGTTCGGCGCTGGAATCGAAGACAGGGATAGATACAAAGGCAGGGGCCGATGCAGAGGCAGAGACAGAGGCAGAGACAGAGGCATAGGAAGAAGCAGGGGCAGGGGCAGAGGCAGCTGTATGCAGGAACAGGAACACCAGCAGCGCAGCAGCAAACAGCATGGCAGGATAGAGCCACGCAGTGGGCACCAGAGACATCAGCAGCAGCACCACAACAAGAAGCAGCGATGCAACGAAGGCGATGGCACTGCCGCTTCTAGCGCCAGCGAAAGCGAGCACGGCAGCAGGGACAAGCAGCACCGAAGGCCTGATGTATTGTGCGGTGGAGAGTGCTATGAACACTTGCACGGTGAGCAGCAGCAGGGAGATGAGCAGCATCACAGCAAAGACTACAGCAATGCAGAGTGCAGCAGTGATTGCCTTTTCTGCCAGACTGTATGATTCCGCCTCGCTTCTCCCCGTTTCATACCCTTCAAAGGAAATTGGAGGGGTCAGCGACTTCACAGACTCTATACGGGAGCATGAATCGATATGGAGTGATTGTAAACGAGTCAGCTTGTACAGTGAATGGGGAAGCTCCCTTAGCTGCTCGCAGTTGGTCAGTCTCAGCTTCTCCAGGCACGCAGGCAGGCTGCTTTCACATAATCCCTCGGGCAGATGCGCCAGTGCGGGCAGGTCCAACCCGAGCGATTGTAACCGGGGTAACTTACCCAGACTTTCGGGCAGATCCCGGATATTATCAAGGTGGAGGAGCTTTAGGGTTTGCAGGTGGGACAAGGCGCCGATGTGGTGTGGGAGTGAGGTGAGCGAGGAACAGGAGGAGATGGAGAGGGAGGAGAGAGGGAGGAAGCAGATGCTCTCCGGGAGAATCTTGAGCGAATTGCAGGCGTGGAGGGAAAGGGACCGCAGCTGAGTCAGCCCCGCCATAACATTTTCGGGCAGGCATTGCAGATTCTCTGATTGAAGGAAAAGGGTTTTCAGCCCGGTCAGCAGTTGGAAGGATTCCGGAATGCACTCGAGCCCATCAAGTTCGATCTCTAGGCTTTCCAGCCGAGCCAAGTCGCCTATCGCGTCGGGAAGCCTCGTGATGGTTCTTGCGAAGAGAGTACCGATACTCAGCTTGCGGAGGTTAGTAATGAGGTCCACGCACTCCCCAAGTCCCTGGAAACTCGTTCCCGCGCTGATCCGCAACTCCCGCAGCTGCTGCAGCGCGCCGATGCTCTCGGGCGGCGAAATGAGCTCCTGTAACGAGTCATCGCCATAGAGAGGATGAGCGCACACGTGGAGGGTTTGGAGATCCGTGAGGAGCGAAAGGGACGGCGGGAGATGCGGAAGGCAGAAGGTGGTGAGCAGGCGGAATTCTCTAAGCTTGCGGCATCCATGGAAGAGCGACGCGAGGCCGTCTACAGTGACCACCATGCGAAACTGATGCTCCACCGTTAGATGGCTCAGGAGCGGACACGTGGCGGCGAGACATTGGAAGAGCGCGTCGCCATCGGCGGATACGATCGAAAACTCGCTCAGCGACACGTGCGTGAGGGTGGGGAAGCGGCGCAAAACGGAAAGAAGGCGCGGGAGCGGGAGCCATGCAAGCTGCGCGTTGCGGAAGTGCTCAGAATCTCGTACTTCTTGCATCGATAAATCCCGATGGCGAATGGTCAGGTGGGAGAGCGCGGACGTGGCGAGGCGGTACCAGCGCTTGGAAACGAGCGCGTGGCGGAAGGAGGTCTGCGCGAGCGAGCGGAGGACGAGCGCGAGAACGTCGTCGGGGAGGCGATCCACGGGGAAGGGCGGATCGGCGCGCGCTGGTGAAACCATGGCGTTGAAGCGGCTTGGGAAAGGGATGAACGGCATCGTGTGGATGTTTAGAGACGTTGCTAATGAGGCGAATTAGGGAAATGGGTAAAGCGGGGATAGACCTGCTGCCCTAGAGCGTAGCGGCTTGCCTAAACAGAAATGTAGGCAAGCGCTGCTGGAGGAAATGACGGAGCGCCCTGTTTTCTGGTTTCCAATTCCTTTCGGCAGTGGTTTTGACACCACCCCGCTTCGCGCTCGCGTCCGATTCCTTGGGACAGTTTTTTCTGACATTTCCAATTTCCTGTGACCAGGGATTTTATGAAGACTACCTGATTTCAGTTTAGTAGACAGTGTAAAAAAATAAAACCCACTCGGATGGCTGGCCATTAGGGAGGCATCAACCCTAAACACCTTGCCTCATGGTGTTTAGGGTTGATGCCTCCCGAATGGCATGCCATCCAATAGGGGATTATATATTTCGTTGTTCCGCGCTGTTAGTTAACAAGCGACGCCTCATTTGGAATATCCCTATAAACAAAATATACTATGATTGGTAGGACTCGGAAAGGGAATTAGCGAAATTATCGGCCCGAAGGTATCGGACGCGAGCGCGAACCGAGGTGGTGTCAAAACCACTGCCGAAAGGAATAGGAAACTTAGAAACAGGGCGCTTTGTCATTTCCTCGCGCTGCTGGGATACAGTTGGAAAGAGTGCGGGATGGAATGGGATGGGTTGGGTAAACCAAATGGTGAAGTGGGAAACGCAAAGAAGGAAACGGAGAGATCAGTGTTTGGGGCCAGGCTCGTTCGTTGTGCGCTCGGCGCGTATTGCGGTAGTTGGGAAATATGACGGGGCGGTCAGGGGACATCAACGGCAAGGGAGGACCGCTCACGAATTCGGATGGTCGAATTTGACTCGAGTCAATCCCAACCTTCGATGTCTCTACAGACATCCCTTAGGAAGGGAAATATGATGCAATACAGTACAGTACCACCAAACACATCATTTAAGGTGAATGTTCCACACAAGAGTACGGTACCACCAAACACATTAATCAAGCTAGACACTGAGGCTCTTAAACCAAGACAGCATGCTAGATGCAACGAGTGTACAGTTTCTTTTCTCATTGGCCATTGGCTGTCATGGATAAAACCTTGGATATTGACAGGAAGTTCTTGTCAAATGTTGTAGCCTGTAGTGAGGTTTGTCTTAGGGGGTACAGAAGTTAGGGTTTGTTATATGTACCCCAACCAACATCAATGGCAGACTCATTCCTCATTTTGACATGGTATCAGCTAGGTTAGGATCCTGTGGGATCCCGTTCCTCCGTTCTCCGTTCGTACCTCCCGAGCCTGATCCTACCTCTCGTTCGTACCAGTTCCGTTGTTACCGCGCCTAGTACCGAGCCTAGCGCCCTTTCCCCCGTCGCTTAGCGCCCTTTCTCCCCGTCGCCTAGCGCCCTTCCCCCCCCCCCCCCACCCCCCCCCCCCCCCCCCCGTCGCGTCGCGCCCTTTCCCCCCGTCGCGTCACGCCCTTTCCCCCCGTCGCGTCGCGCCCGTTCCCCCCGTCGCGTTGTGCCCGCCTGTTCCCCCCCCGTCCCGTCGCCCTGTCCCGTCGCGTCGCCCTGCCCCGTCCCGTCGCCCTGCCCCGTCGCGCCGCCCTGCCCCGTCGCGTCGCCCTGTCCCGTCGCGTCGCCCTGCCCCGTCGCGTCGCTCCCGCCCTTTCCCCCGTCGCGTCGCCCTGCCCTAAGTCCTGGCCCGTCGCCCTACCCTAGGCCCTGGCCCGTCGCCCTACCCTAGGCCCTGGCCCGTCGCCCTCCCTAGGCCCTGGCCCGTCGCCCTACCCTAAGCCCTGGCCCGTCGCCCTACCCTAGGCCCTGGCCCGTCGCCCTACCCTAGGCTCTGGCCCGTGGCCCTCCCTAAGCCCTGGCCCGTCGCCCTACCCTAGGCCCTGGCCCGTTGCCCTACCCTACGTCCTGGCCCGTCGCCCTAGCCCGCTCTTCCGCTGCGACTGAGTCCTCTTCCCCCCCGGTTGTTACTCGCCTGTTCGTTCGCTTTAGTTCTCACTATGGCGACTCCGCGAGTTCTTCGTTTCGACGCTGACGGTAGACCCCTTGACTTTTCCGTCTGGCTTCTTCGCGCTCGCCGTCTGTTAGAGAGTCAGGTCCAGGGGGGCGAGACCCTCTGGTCACACGCTACTGGTGACCTCCCCGAGCCCCCCGAGCCTACAGCTTTAGGCCCTGCTCCTGACGATGCTGCTACGGCTCGCTTTGCCCGTCAGCGCGCTGACCGGACGGCTTGGACGTCGCGTGACGCTGCGGCCTGCATCGCACTCAGCAGCCTCCTCCCTGAGTCCGAGGAGGTCCACTTTACTCAGGTTCGCACCGCTGCTGCGTACCTCACTGCGATTAAGGCCTGCTACTCTACTCCCGCTACTGTCTCTCTTGGCCGTCTTTTCCTCCCGTTCCTGTTTCCTGATCTTGCCTCGTTTGAGCGCTCTGCTGACTTGATCGCTCACCTCCGCTCGCTCGACGCTAGTTACCGCGCTGCTTGCACTGAGGCACAGCTTGCACTGCTTCCTCCCCCCATGGCGATCACTGTCTATTTCATCGCCACTAGCCTCCCTGACCGCCTTGCCTCCGTTCGTGACGCGCTTCTGCTGAAGCACCCTAATGAGCTGACTATCGAGGTCCTTGAGTCTGCACTCAAGGACGTCGAGAGCAACCTTCGTTCGGTAGCTGCCGCCTCTGGTACTGTGTCCCCCCCACTCTTCCACGGGTGCACAGTCCCGCAGTTACCCACCTTCACTGCCTCTCTTGCCACTGCCGCTACTGACGCGACTGCGGCTGCTGTTACGACTGCGTCGCGGTCCCGCGGCAGGGGGGGCAAGAAAGGTGGTTCTGGTGGAGGTGGAGGCGGAGGTAGCGGAGGTAGTGGGGGTGCTGTTGCGACTGGCGGTGGTGGGAGTGCAGCGTCTGGAGAGACCCCTCGTGCAGCGGCTGGTGACTCCACTGCACCTGCTGGTGGCGGCGACCCCCGAGCTCGTCAGTCGCCTCCTGTACTGCCGGCCCCGCTAGGTGGAGCAGCGGCGTGGTACCAGGCTCAGCGTCAGCAGCACCTTCAGCAGCAGCAGCAGCCCCTTTCCTCCCAGCAGCCTCAGCAGCAGCAGCGTCAGCAGCTGGCTCCGGGGTCGGGGCTGCGTCAGCCCCAGCGCGGTGCGGCTTACCCTCCCTGCCCCTACCAGGTTCAGACAGGTCCTCGTCGGGGCCACCCTTGTGGCCGCTTTCACCCCCCTGGTCAGTGCTTTGCTCAGCTCACTGACACGGTCCGGTTGACCTACGGGGTTGGCGGTCCTGCTCCTGACTGGCTTCCTCTAGTTCAGCGCTACGGCTCCGCTCTGTGGGGCATGTCTGCTGAGCAGTTAGTTGATCTGATTAGTGCTCCTCATGCTATGTATGCTGTTGTTGACTCTAGTGTTTCTGACTCTGTTTACTCTGGTGTTGTTAGCTTAGGTGCTAGTCTTGCTCAGTTGCCTGCTGCTAGTGTAGGTACTTGTGTAGACTCTAGACCAGCGACTACCTCAGAGGACGCTTCGCTGTCGTTCACACTGGACTCTGGAGCCTCCCACTGCTTCTTCCGGGACAGCACGACACTTACACCACTTCCTGCGCCTGTTTCTGTAGCGTTGGCTGATCCCACTACGGGACCAGTCACTGCACGTCACACTACCACTTTACCGTGTCCTGCCGCTCCCTCCGGGTCTCTCACTGGGTCTCACGTCCCCTCGTTCTCCCGGAACTTGGTGGGCGTGCGACCCCTCGTGAGTCAGCACGTGGGTGTGTGGTTTGAGCCTTCTGGAGAGACTGCGGTGTGTGTTGACGGAGACTCTTACCAGCCTCTTGCTACCTTTACTGCTGAGCCGGGCTCGGGTCTCTACACTCTTCACACTGGCCCGCGTGCGCCGCAGCAGCAGCCGCAGCAGCAGCAGCAGCCGCAGCCGCAGCAGCAGCAGCAGCAGCAGCAGCAGCAGCAGCAGCACCAGCGGCCGCACCAGCAGCCCCCCCTACTGCCACTGCCCCCGGTTCCCCCCCCCCGTTCGGGTCCCCGCGTCTCACCAGGTTGCTTCGTCCCTCCAGGTGTCTGTGTCGTGTCAGGTTCCTACGTCTGTTCCAGTCGCTGCGTCGTGCTCCTGCCGGTCGCTTGCCCACCCCACCGTTGTGTGGCACCACCGGATGGGGCACCCGTCCCTTCCTCGTCTGCGCGCTATGTCTAGTCAGCGTCTTGTCCTAGGCCTCCCACGTGTCTTGCCGTCGCTGCCGCCTTCGCTTGCGCCGCCGTGTCGTCCCTGCGTCGAGGGTAGGCTGCGCGCCACCCCTCACTCCTCCTCCCTTCGTCCGGCCACCGAGCCTTTTGAGACGCTTCACTTGGACGTCTGGGGCCCCGCCCCTCGTCTAGGCCCTGAGCGTGAGCGTTACTTTCTGGTGGTCGTTGACGACTTCTCCCGCTACACCACAGTGTTCCCTCTGGCGAAGAAGTCTGAGGTGACTTCTACGCTGATCAGGTGGTTGCTCACCACCGAGGACACTCGTGGTCGTCGTGTCAGCTGTCTCCACTCCGACCGTGGGGGTGAGTTTCGCTCCGGCATTCTCGCTGGATTCTGTCGCGAGCAGGGCATTCGTCAGTCCTGGACGCTTCCAGAGTCCCCACAGCAGAATGGGGTTGCTGAGCGCCGCATAGGCCTGGTCATGGAGATCGCCCGTCTTCCCTGACTCACGCCTGTGCCCCCCATTTTCTGTGGCCCTACGCGGTCAGGTACGCCGCGCACCAGCTGAACCTCTGGCCACGTGTCTCTCGACCAGAGGTTTCACCGACCAGTCTTTGGACAGGGTCCCCTGGTGTTGCGTCGCGGTTTCGTGTCTGGGGGTGCTTGGCTCTTGTCCGCGACACCTCCGCGGACAAGCTCTCGCCTCGTGCCGTCCCCTGTGTCTTCCTTGGTTTCCCTGAGGACTCCTCTGACTTCACCTTTTACCACCCTCCCTCTCACCGGTTCTTTGACTCCCGTGACGTCCGTTTCGAGGAGTCCACTCCGTACTACGTCAGGTACCCCAGTCGAGGTCTCCCGGTTCCTCCTCCCCCCCTCTTCCTGACTGCCGCTCCCCCTCCTGCTCCCCCGGTACAGCCTCCCCCCCCCCTGGCCCAGCCCCGTCAGGTGTGTCCCAGGCTACCCCTCCTCCTTCGGTAGCCCCTCCGGTACAGCCTCCCTCCCCACAGTCCTCCTCGCAGCGTGCCGCTGGTGCTAGCTCTCGAGAGGTTGGTGCTGCGCCTGTTCCTGTACCGGTTTCTGGTTCTGGGGGTGCTGGAGTTGGAGCTGGTGTTGGAGCTGGAGGTGGAGCTGGAGTAGGCACTGGAGTTTCTGGTTCTGGAGTTGGAGCTGACCCGGTGGGTGCAGAGGACTCTTGTCGTCCGGGAGCTGGTGCTGGCCGCGCGGACACTGGGGGTGCTCCCTCTGGGGGTGAGGGTGCGCCTCCTTCGGGTTCTGGTGAGCCTGGGTCTGGAGCTGGTGTTAGTGCTGCCTCTGGGGGTGGTGCGCCTGGTTCTTCGGGGGTTGACTCTGGAGCTGCCGCTGCTTCGGACACTACTCCGCCCCCCCACCCCTACCCGACTAGGCACCAGGCTCGTGTTCGCCGTGCCCGTGACGAGCAGCTGGCGTTGGAGAGAGAGGAGAGGGAGTTACAGCGGCTGGAGGAGCAGCAGCAGCAGCTGGACCCGCAGGAGCAGCAGTCCCAGCAGCAGCCGCGTCCGCAGCAGCAGCAGCAGTCGCAGCAGCAGCAGCAGCAGCCACTTCCTCCTCCTGTCTTGGGTCTTCGGGCCCTTGGTCTCCCCTCCCCTTCTCCTCCCTCCTCCGCCTCTCCTCCTGTCTACGGTCCCACGTTTCCTCCGCCTGACTCCTCCCCCGCTGTTTTCTCCAGTTCTCCGCCTTTGTCCTCTCCTCCTCCGTCTCGTTCTTGGGCTACTCGTCGCTCCCCTCGTGCTCGTCCCTCGTCTCCTGTTCCCTTCACTGACCTTCGTACTGCCTTACTTTGTTCTAGTCCACCTCGTCCGTCTCAGTCTGTGCTTCCGTCTCCTCCTGAGTCGGCCCTCACCGTGTCGCTCCCTGCTCCTGTCACTGACTACTACCGCACGTACCGTCCTGTTCTCTCTTGTGTTCTCGCCTCTCTTGTTACTCACCCTCGTGCCTCTGTGTCCTCTGTGTCCGCTCTTACTGCCGCAGTTACTGACTTTGCCTCTACCCGTCGCCTTGACTACGCCACCACGCTTGTGGCTGCTCCTCCTACCAGTCCTCAGGCCGTCGAGGGTGTGTCTGCCCTTGGCTGTGACGCCCTAGAGGACAGGCAGTTTGAGCTAGAGTTCCTGGCGGCCGCTTCCCCTCATCTCTGTGCCATGCTCCTCGCCCCTGAGGGTGACCCCGACGCCCTTGACATTCCGACTCCTCGCACTTACGCTGAGGCAGTGTCAGGGCCTTGGGCCTCTCAGTGGAGAGCTGCCATGGACGCAGAGATGGCTTCCTACAGATCCACAGGCACCTACGTCGATGAGGTTCCCCCCCCTGGGGCGAACGTAGTCGACGGCATGTGGATCTACAGGGTGAAGCGGCCACCGGGATCTCCCCCGGTCTTCAAGGCGCGCTACGTGGCTAGAGGTTTCAGTCAGCGCAAGGGAGTTGACTTCTTTCAGACCTTCGCACCTACCCCGAAGATGACCACTCTTCGGGTGTTACTACACGTAGCAGCACAGAGAGACTACGAGTTACACTCTCTCGACTTCTCCACTGCTTTCCTTCAGGGCAGCCTACACGAGGAGGTCTGGTTACGTCGTCCCTCGGCCTTCACTGGCACTTTCCCTCCTGGGACCCAGTGGAGGCTGAGGCGACCTGTTTACGGTCTTCGCCAGGCCCCTCGTGAGTGGCACGACACTCTGCGTTCTACCCTCTCTGACCTTGGGTTCCAGCCGTCTTCTGCCGACCCTTCGCTGTTCGTTCGTCGTGGCTCCACACCGTTCTTTGTTCTGGTCTACGTCGACGACCTCGTTTTCGCCACTCCGGACAGGGTTGCTTTGGCAGACGTGAAGTCCGAACTGCAGAAGAGACACACGTGCACTGATCTTGGTGAGCTGCGCCACTACCTTGGCCTGCAGATCACCAGGGACAGAGCCGCTCGCACCATTACACTCTCACAGTCACACATGGTGCAGCAGGTCCTTCAGCGGTTCGGGCTTCAGCACTCCACCGTACAGCGCACACCTCTCGCTGTTGACCACAGACTCACTGGTCCCTTTCCTGACGAGCCGTTTGAGCCTAGTGGTCCCTACGCAGAGCTTGTGGGTTGCCTCATGTACCTGATGACTTGTACTCGCCCGGACCTCGCCTTCCCTCTCAGCATCCTTGCGCGCTTTGTTGCGCCAGGGAGACACCGTCCTGTTCACTGGACGGCAGCTGTGAGGGTGGCGAAGTACCTAGCGACTACATCAGGCGTGGGGCTAGTTCTTGGAGGGCAGCAGTCTGTCGTACTCACTGGTCACTGTGACTCCTCTTACGCTGACGACGCTGAGACTCACGGGTTTACTCAGGGGTACTGTTTCAGTCTGGGTTCTGGAGCTGTTTCCTGGCGTTCCACGCGCTCCTCTTCTGTCTCGACCTCTACAGCTGAGGCTGAGATTTACGCTGGTGCCATGGCGGCACAGGAGTTGCGGTGGTTGACCTTCTTGCTCGCCGACCTTGGTGAGCGGCCGAGCTCTGCACCGACCTTGTTTACTGACAACAAGGCGTCGATCCTCCTCTGTCGTGAGCCGCGACTGGAGAGCAGAGTGAAGCACATTCACGTCAGGTACTTTCTTCTGCGAGAGTTGCAGAGACGTGAACAGGCTCACTTCGAGTTCGTGGAGTCCGAGGCCAACACTGCAGACATCTTCACCAAGACGCTTCCGCCTTGTGACCACCAGAGGTGTTGTGTGCAGTTAGGCCTTGTTGACACAGGTTCTAGTCATGTGTAAACTTGAGTTTATTGCCTGCTTCGTCTGTACACTTGCTATATATACTTGTGATCTCTTGGACTGGCCTTGTGGCCACTGTTGCTTGTGCTCAGAGTGTGTGGTGACGTTGTGATCCACCCTGAGCTTTGTTTTCTTTTGGACTGGTCTTGCGACCGTACTCTTTTTGATTTTGCTAGACACCCCTCACTTAGGCTATGGGGGTGTGTCAAATGTTGTAGCCTGTAGTGAGGTTTGTCTTAGGGGGTACAGAAGTTAGGGTTTGTTATATGTACCCCAACCAACATCAATGGCAGACTCATTCCTCATTTTGACAGTTCTATATATACCACCTCTATTGTGCTCTCTGTACTGTACACTAACCTCTGCAGTACAATTATCCCGAGTCACGAAGACCGGCATACACGACCAAGTGACCAAGCGAACGCGCCCTGCAGCACTGAACAACCCGCCCTCATCAGCAACACAACCAGCTGCAGCAATAAATCCACCACGTGCAGAAGCACAAATAGAGCTTTCACATGCAGAAAAAGCCGCATTCTCCCCGACCGCACACCAGGAATGCGGTCAAACAGCCATGGGTCAGCCTCAGCACCCATCCTCTCCAGCACCAGCCGCTGCAGTTGCGGCAGCTGCCTGCTGGATAAGTCCAGGAGATTGTTCGGAACGCCGAGAGAATGCAGGGTGAGCGTGTGCAGGGCAGGGAAGGAGAAGTTTTTCGGGAGGGAGGAGATAAGCGGGCAGTCTGAAACCTTTAATATGGTGAGGGAAAATAGGCCCGGGTGTTGTTCCGTGCCATTTGATGCAACATCAAAGGCAAAGATAGGTACACTATGTGTGGCAGGGGCAGGGGCAGGGGCAGGGGCAGGGGCAGCGGCAGCGGCAGCGGCAGCGGCAGGGGCAGGGGCACGGGCACGGGCACGGGCACGGGGACGGGCAGGGACAGGGGCAGGGGCAGAAGCAGGGGCAGAAGCAGTGGCAGAGTCAGGAGCAGAAGCAGGGCTAGAGGTAGGGGCAGAGGTAGAAGCAACGGGTCGTAGGAACAGGATCACCAGCAGCAGCGCAGCAGCGAGCAGCATGGCAGGATAGAGCCACGCACTGGGCAGCAGAGGCATCAGCAGCACCGCCACAACTAGCAGCAGTGGCACAGCCGCGGCGACAGGACTGCCGCTTTCAGCACCAGCAGAAGCGTGCGTGACAGCAGAGGAGGGTTCTATCAGCTCCCGCACCATGAGCAATGGCAGGGAGATCACTTCCATCATTGAAAAGAGTGCACCAATAATGACCCTTTCAGCGAGGCTGAACAAATTTAACGCTATTCCGGAGCTTTCAGGGAAGCTTGGAGAGGTCAGCGGCTTCAGAGACTTTATATTGGAGCATGACTCGATATGGAGGGACTCTAAACGAGTCAGCATGTATAGTGAGGGAGGAAGCTCCGTCAGTTCGTTGCAGTTGGTCAGGCTCAGCTTTTCCAGGCACGCTGAAAGGCTGCCTTCACACAATCTCTCGGGCAGATGCTCCAGCGCGGGCAGGTCCAGCTCGAGCGTTATTAACTGGGGTAAATCACCCATGCTTTCGGGCAGAACCCGGATATTATCAAGGGAGAGGAGCTTTAAGGTTTCCAGATGAGATAATGCGCCGATGTGGTGAGGGAGTGAGATGAGCGAGGAGCAGGAGGAGATGGAGAGGGAGGAGAGAGGGAGGAAGCAAAGGCTCTCTGGGAGAATCCCGAGGGAATCGCAGGCGTGGAGGGAAAGAGACTGCAGCTGCGTCAGCCCCGCCATAACATTTCCGGGCAGGCGCTGCAGACGCTTGGATTGGAGAGAGAGGGATTTCAGCCCGGTCAGCAGTTGGAGGGATTCCGGAATGCACTCGAGCCCGTCCAGCTCGACTTCCAGGCTTTCCAGCCGATCCAAATCGCCTATCGCGTCGGGAAGCTTCGTGACGGTTCTTGAGAGATGAGTAGTACCGATGCTCAGCTTCCGAAGGTCAGTGAGGCGACCCACGCACTCCCCCAGACCCTGGAAACTCGATCCCGCGCTGACCCGCAACTCCCGCAGCTGCTGCAGCGCGCCGATGCTCTCGGGCGGCGAAACGAGCTCCTGTAGCGAGTCATCGCCATATAGAGGATGAGCGCACACATGGAGGGTTTGGAGATCTGTGAGGAGCGAGAGGGACGGCGGGAGATGCGGGAGGCCGTCGGTGGTGAGCAGGCGGAGTTCCCTGAGCTTGCGACACCCGTGGAAGAGCGAGGCGAGGCCGTCTACAGTAACCGCCATGCGAAACTGATGCTCCACCGTTAGATGGCTCAGGAACGGACACGTGGCGGCCAGGCATCGGATGAGCGCGTCGCCGTCGGCGGATACGATTGAGAACTCGCCCAGCGACACGTGCGTGAGGGTGGGGAAGTGTCGCAGCGCGAAAAGAAGGCGCGGGAGCGGGAGCCATGCAAGCTGCGCGTTGCGGAAGTGCTCAGAATCTCGTATTTCTTGCATCGATAGATTCTGATGCCGAATGGTCAAGTGGGAGAGCGCAGACGTGGCGAGGCGGTACCAGCGCTTAGAAACGAGCGCGTGGCGGAAGGAGGTTCGCGCGAGCGAGCGGAGGACGAGCGCGAGAACGTCGTCGGGGAGGCTCTCCACGGGGAAGGGCGGATCGGCGCGCGCAGGTGAAACCATGATGGCATTCATGCGGCTACTAGCCGTAGCCATCTAATCAGGAGAACGGCGAACGGGGGGAAACGGTAAAGCGCGGATAGAATTGCTGCCGCCCTGAAGTATGGCGGGGTTGTCTGTTCAGAAATATACGCTAGTACTTCTGCATTCCTGGATTGCGCGAGTCTTTGTCCCCTATCTCTGGGGTGTGTGTGTAAGTGGTTTGTTGCTTGGTGGATGCGGAGGGCTGTTTGTGGTTTCAGGTATGCTGGTGACCGCTCTCAAACGCACTATATTCAGCTGTTTCTTATTGTAACCTGCTGTTGCGTGTGTAATGGATTTGTGTGGTATTTGTTGGTTACACGTGTTCACTTGCTGTTCAGCAACGAGGTTGACAGGAGAACTGCGATTCGCATGTTGTGTTACAGCCCACCCTGGTTTGTCGCCAATTGCGCCACTGCTTAGAGACATCAGCGCGCTGAATCTAAGGGCGCGTGTGGTCTTACAAATCTGTGAAAGTTGATGTTTTTAGATCGAATGTAGCATTTGAACAAAACTCGACTTTCCTTGCAGCGAAGTTCGAATCTTGGGTCTCCAACACAGACGAGTCACAATCACACACCCAAGGTCGAACACAGAGATTCGACCTTCTAGAGAAGGCGGCGAGCCGCCCGTAGGGGGTGTAGGTTACCTGGTACAGCACGACACGTCAACTTAGTGTGCGACGAAGCTCCGCGAGTTTCGCAAAGCATTGGTGATTTTCGGATGGCCTTCGTATGTGCTGAAACAACACACACTCGCCTCACGTGCACCCGCACGTTCACCCGTGTGATTCGAGTTGAGTTCACATTTGACATTCGCACTTATGTGCCCCCAAAATTCTCGTGCCTTCGCCAAAGAGTCTTGACGACATTGGCGAAGCTGGTAGCCACACAAAGCTCGATCTTTTTTCCCAACTTGAAAAACGATCACACGCGCCCTAAGCGCTGTAGACAGTGCGCAAGATGGTGAAATGGCATTCCTCCTGATCTCCGAAGGTGTGACTAGTCGAATTGAAGCAATTTGGGAAGTGGAGGAAGGTGTGGTGTGGTGCGGTGGAGGAGAAACGAACGGCAGAAGTTCTCAGAAGTAGTTTTGCAGACACAAGTTGTGGTCAATGAAACTTGGCAGTATCTTGAAGGCACGTTTTGCTGACCACATTCAGTATCGATATTGACTCAGCCGCTGAAACTGAAATTTAAAAAATAACCAACAAATCGATATGCTGGTTATGTTGGTTATGTTGAAAAATGTGCAAGAAAGGAACTAGTGCATTTCAAAGCGAGCTTGGTTGGGAAAAAGTGCGGGAATGGACAACGATATCATGAAGGGATTGGGGTGGTCGTGTAAGGAATTTTGCTAATTCCTTACTGAGGCACCTTTTACGCGTTCAATTCCAACTTTCGGAATTCAGGCTCGGTCCGTCGACCTCGCCTCCCGAACGTCTCCCGCGTCGCCTTCGGGTTTCCCAACCCCAAACCTACACCCAACCTTCGCGCGAATCCGCGACCTCGGCTTAGCTATCTGTGCTATATTATGCCTAGGCCTCGTTGTTTGCTCAGTAGTTGTAATCACTTCCGCGATATTGCATTATGCGCACTCTTCTTTCCTACAACTCATAACACTTGGTATCAGAGCTACTTTCCTAGGTTACCCTCCACTTTCCGGGGTAGTTTAGTGCAAGGGTGCGATAGGTTTGGTGGGATGCAAAGCGGTCGGCTGAGAGATACGATTATCTCGCTCCGACTAATAGCGTTTGCGCCTTCATCAAAACCATAAAAATCGCTGTTAACCCGCTGCCCGCTAGGATGAGTCTCCGAAATATTACGCAAGCAGAGTTTGACGTGTTCTTGCAGGACTTTCGGGCGATGCAATCCAACATGCAGACTATGTCTGGCGAGTTGGATCGTCTGAGGGCGGAAAACGCCGAGCTACGCCAGACGCGAGGTGAAGCGCGTCAGGAGTCGCCCGCCGTGGATGAAGCAAGTAGCAGTTTCGCGCCTAACGACGAGGTCCTCAGCGAGCTACGGAACTCGCTGGACGCTGAAGATGAGTGGACGGCACGGATGCAACGAGCACAAGGGGCGCAGGAACAACAGTCACAGCCGCAACAACAGACACGAGCGGCGCCGAGGCAACAGTCGCAGACTACGCCACGTCAGGCAACAGCGACAACCCCGGTGATGGCTTCAATGGCGCCCCCGATGCATACAGCAACAACAGTCTCAACAACTGTTAAAATAAAGCCGACGAACCCACCCCCGTTCAACCCCAGCGACAAAACCGTCACTGTGTCGGCATGGCTGTTCGGTATAGAGGTGTTCTTCAATGCTGCGCAAATTGCTGACGATGCTACCCGCATTAATTTTGCAATGTCACTGTTACGAGGACCGGCGTTGGAGTGGTGGAAGCGGACTCTTTAGACAGAGGGGACTCCGGCAGGGATGTCACGTGCGAACGACGGGACCTGGACAACTGTCACGCAACAGGCAACTTCAATCTTCGGAGTGGCCACGATACCCACATGGACGGAGTGGGGCGCCGTGCTGCGAACTAGATTCGAGCATGTATCCGCCTCGGATTCTACTCGCATGAAGCTGCGCACCTGGAAGCAGTTGGCGTCGGTCCAAGATTACACGGCAACATTCTGCAATTTGGCTGGCCAAGTGGACGATATGAGCGATGCGGAGCAACTTGACCGATATGTCGCAGGCCTCAAGTACGAAGTATAGTACGAGGTGCGACGGGCGAGGCCACGTGGTTTTCTCGATGCCGTCCAGGTGGCTAAATCAACGGATGCGCTGATGCAATGGGCGAGAATGAGTTCCTAGGAGGGCACTCAATTTCGTGGACCGCCGCGCCAGCCCACAATCAACGGGGTGGATGCACCGAGATGTGGACCTAACACGTGCTTCAACTGCAACCAACCGGGCCACTGGAGGAAGGACTGCCCGAAGCTAAAATAGGGAAACAGGAATGACGGAGAGGGGTCGGGAAAAGAGACGAGTCAGTAGCAGTCGGGCCACCTACCGACGCGACCCCGTTGCCTGGCAATCAACATCCACACCGAGTAGTGGTACCGATACGGGCTATCGACCGCAACCGGACGAATAAGGTGGATGAACACGTGGATCACCCTGTGCTGGTCGTGGGGAGGGTTAACGGGTATAAAATAAAATTATTCGTTGACGGTGGGGCGAGCCACAGTATCGTCAACCTGGCAACGGCAAAAACAAATTGGGGTCAAGCTGGACAGGTGTCTACCCGAGATTGACGCGCGACTGGTGGACGGGACACCGCTGGCGATAAAAGACGAGGTCCGACAAATTCGGATGAAGTGTGGCGACGATTTCGGGTTTTCCATGCGGATGCTGGCGACAACACTGTACGGTTGCGATGTGCTGCTGGGAAGAGATTGGTTGCAGCGATTCAATCCGATCATCGACTGGACGTCGGGGGCGATTACGGTGCTGTGCAACAAGGGGTGCGTGACACTTCCGAAGTGGGCGGAGCCGTAGCCGATGGCAACACGTGTCAATGCAATAACATTGAAGAAGGCGATCAAACGGGGAGCGCAAGGCTACGCTGTACAGCTGTACGAGGTGGTGGCTTCCGAAAACATCGCTGACATCGACACGCTCTGCGCTGCTGTACCCGACGACGTGGCGAGCATAACTCGGAGGTATCCCGAAATTTTCGCGGATGACCTGCCTGACGGGTTGCCACCTCAGCGTCCGGAGGACCACAAGATTGAGCTGGAACCAGGCGCAAAACCAACTGTTCGGTCCCAATGGCGGCTCAACCAACCGGAGCTAGACGAATTGCAGAAACAGTTGGATTATCTGCTTTGTAATGGTTTTATCCGGCCGAGCACGTCACCGTACGCCGCCCCTATACTGTTCACACCGATGAAGGACGGAGGCCTGCGCATGTGCATCGACTACCGAGCGTTGAATCGGGTCACGATCAAGTCGCGTTACCCGATCCCACGAGCACATGACCTGCTGGACCAGCTTCGCGGGGCTCACTTCTTCTCGAAAATCGATTTGCGAGGTGGCTACCACCAAATTCGTGTGTTTGCCGACGACTGCCCGAAGACTGCATTCCGCACCCGCTACGGCAGTTATAAGTACACCGTGATGCCGTTCGGGTTGACGAACGCACCCTCGACTTTCCAGCTCACCATGAATGGAGTGTTTCGGGACATGCTGGACAAGAAGGTCATTGTTTACCTGGACGACATCCTGGTGTACAGCAAGACTCGGGAGCAGCATTTACAGGACTTGACGAGGTGTTCTGACGCTTGCAGCAGAATCGGCTGATTACGAAGGGCTCTAAGTGCGAGTTCTTAAGGTCGGAGTTGGAGTTTGTGGGGCACGTGGTCTCAGGGGAGGGCATTAAAAATGGACCCTCGTAAAGTAAAGGCGATTTCGGAGTGGAAGCCGCCCACGAACATCACTGAGTTGCAGAGTTTCCTCGGCTTCGTTAACTACGTCCGCCGTTTTGTACCCAATATGGCGGGAGTAACCAGGTCGTTAACCGATCTTCTGCATAAGGGCGTGCATTTTGGTTGGGGGAAGAGAGAAGAGCTGGCTTTCGACGAGCTGAAGAAAATTTTGAGTTCACCCCCGGTGCTTCGGCTGGCAGATCCATCTCGACCGTTCAAAGTCGTGACGGACGGCAGCGACTTCGCCGTCGGCGCTGTGCTACTACAGGAGTTCGGCAACGGGCTGCAACCCATCGCATACAAGTCAAGAAAACTGCAGTCGCCCGAGCGCAACTACCCGGTTCACGACAAAGAAATGCTCGCCATCGTGCATGCGTTTTGTACCTTGCGATGTTACCTCACGGGAGCTGATGTCACCATCCGAACTGACCACAAGTCATTACAGTACATGCGCAGCCAACCACAGCTCAACTCACGACAAATCCGGTGGCTCGATTACCTCGAATCCAACTTCAGCTACACCATCACATATAAAAAGGGCGCCAACAACATCGCCGACGCCCTGACCCGCCCATCGATGCAGACCGCAACAGTACTAATCACCCATTCTAACCCTTTATTGACAGGATTATTCAAGCACGGCTATAGGATTGACAGATTTTTCAGGACCAATCAACACCACGGGGTCACCACAACGCATGGGAGTTACTACCTAAAAGTCGGTACTAACCGAGTTTGGGTACCTTCCTACCGACCCTTACGAGAATTACTGACGCAGGAAGTACACGACTCCAACCTCTCCGGGCATTTCGGCGTCGACAAAACGTTGAAGCTACTGCAGCGGAATTACTACTGGCCCGACATGGCGTCGGACGTGCAGCACTACGTGTCCGCCTGCCCGACCTGCCAGGCAATGAAATCATCACGACAACGCCCAGCTGGATTACTGCAGCCCCTCGAGCCACCCGAACGACCGTGGCAACAGGTGACAATGGATTTCGTCACGGGCCTCCCAGCTGGCGCAACTGGCAACGACTTCGTGCTCGTCGTCGTTGATCGCTTAACGAAAATGGCGCACTTCGCACCCTGCCGTACAAGGATCACAGCCGAAGAAACAGCGAGACTCTTCATCTCGACCGTCGTGCGCCTACACGGGTTACCTTCGGCGATCATCAGCGATCGAGATCCGAAATTCACGTCGAAGTTCTGGCAGAAGACATGGGCACAATATGGTACCCGCCTGCAGTTTTCGTCGTCCTACCACCCGCAAACTGATGGACAGGCAGAGAGGACAAACCAGACGATGGAGCAGCTGATTCGCACGAACTGCCCAGACATCGCCAAGTGGGAAGATTCCCTTCCCATGCTCGAGTTTGCGTACAATAACGCCCCCTCTGCAACGACCAAGCAGTCACCATTCTACCTGAATTACGGGATAGACCCGGTGGTACCCTCGTCAACGACTCCCGACAACTCAGTACCCAGGTGACAGCAGTTTATTTCGGAACTACAAGCAGCGCGCGCCAAAGCAGCAGAATTTATCCGGAAAGAGAATACGGCCGCCAGCCGCTACGCCGACCAACATCGACGAAATTTACCCTTTCGTAATGGGCAGATGGTTCTCCTGGACACCAAAAACCTCAAACTGCCCCAACCTGCAAAACTGCGTCCATGCTACGTGAGACCTTTCCGCATCATTCGGATGCTGACATCGGTCACTGCGAAACTTCTACTACTGGACGACTGGCATATCCACGACGCCTTCCACGTCAGTTTACTTCGCCACTACGTGGCACCCCAGTCATCTGACGTCGCTCGACTCCACCAGGCGCCAAGTGTCCGACCGGTGGCAGATCCTACGCTCCAACCTTGGAAGATATTGAATCATCGCATTCGTGCGACCCCCGCTGGACGCCACGTCGACTTCCTACTACGATGGGTGGATCGCACAAGTGACGATGACACGTGGGTCCCGGCTGACTCACTACAAGGGCACTCGGTACTTCGGCAGTATCTTTCTCGCCGACATGTGCCTGATATTGACCACCTTTCTTTAAGGGGGGGGGGGGGGGGGGGGGGGGGGGGGTAGTGTAAGGAATTTCGCTAATTCCTTACTGAGGCATCTCTTACGCGTTCAATTCCAACTTTCGGAATTCAGGCTCGGTCCGTCGACCTCGCCTCCCGAACGTCTCCCGCATCGCCTTCGGGTTTCCCAACCCCAAACCTACACCTAACCTTCGCGCGACTCCGCGACCTCGGCTTAGCTAGCTGTGCTATATTATGCCTAGGCCTAGTTGTAATCACTTCCGCGATATTGCATTCTGCTCACTCTTCTTTCATACAACTCATAACAGGTCGGGGGGTAGAGACTAGTTGTGCGTTCGGCTCGCATTACCCTGAAGTACACCTGATGCTCACCCCATGCGGCGAATTTGCCTTGCGCCGGATGGATACGCTGCACCCGAGGTTGTTTCCCCAGCTTCATGCACCTACATTACAAGCGCGTCAAGCAGAAGAGACCGAAGTCAAGCAGAAGAGACTGAAGTCAAACAAGGTAACTAGGTAGCAGGGTCTTGTTTATAAGCACATGCGAATTCTTTTTAGCTAGCTGCGAATTGACGAACTTAAGCGAATTGCTTCGTTACAGCTTATACGCCCCCTTCACAAGGCGACCGGGAGGGGCTCAAACAGGCATCATGTGTAGTTTGGGTGGGTGGGGAGGGATAGAAAATGGATGACGGGGCAGTCAGGGAATGTCAACAGCCCGAGAGTATCGAGTCGCGATACACGAGGACTAATTTTGACTCGAGTCAACACCGTCCATCGGTGTCTGCAAGGGAACGTCGTACCCTTTTCACCAACTCCAACAAAGTTGGTGACGCTGCGCGCCAAGCCCTCTCTAAACCAAGCTTTCTCCAAAAATTCTATGGCATGAGTTCCACCAACGTCCCCTTTCCCAACGCAATCCCCATTGATCATCTCCTTTTAGTACGGACAAAGCCCTTCATTCCAAATCAGTCCACTCAGGGCGACAGAGCTGCAATCACATCCAACGATGGCGTTTGTTCCTTTTCTTAGCCGCCTCAAAGCCATGGTTTCACCCGCGCGCGCCGATCCGCCCTTCCCCGTGGAGCGCCTCCCCGACGACGTTCTCGCGCTCGTCCTCCGCTCGCTCGCGCAGACCTCCTTCCGCCACGCGCTCGTTTCTAAGCGCTGGCTCCGCCTCGCCACGTCCGCGCTCTCCCATTTTAACATTGAGATACATCATCCCGAGCAGTACCGCAACGCGCAGCTTGCATGGCTCCCGCTCCCGCGCCTTCTTTCCGCGCTGCGCCGCTTTCCCACCCTCACGCACGTGTCGCTGGGCGAGTTCTCCATCTTATTCGCCGACGGTGACGCGCTCTTCCAATGTCTGGCCGCCACGTGTCCGAGGCTGAGCCATCTAACCGTGGAGCATCAGCTTCGCATGGCGGTTACAGTAGACGGCCTCGCGTCGCTCTTCCGTGGATGCCGCAAGCTCAGGGAACTCCGGCTGCTCACCACCGCCGGCTTCCCGCATCTTCCGCCGTCCCTTTCGCTCCTCACAGATCTCCAAACCCTCCACGTGTGCGCGCATGCTCATTCTGGCAAAGACTCGTTACAGGAGCTCGTTTCGCCGCCCGAGAGCATCGGCGCGCTGCAGCAGCTGCGAGAATTGCGGGTCAATGCGGGAGCGACTTTCCAGGGACTCGGGGAGTGCGTGGGTCTCCTGAAGAACCTCCGCAAGTTGAGTATCAGTAGTGTGTTCTCAAGAACCGTCACAGAGCTTCCCGACGCGATCGGCGACTTGGCTCGGCTGGAAACCCTAGAAATCGAGCTGGACGGGCTCGAGTGCCTTCCGGAATCCCTCCAACTGCTGACCGGGCTGAAAACCCTTTCCATCCAATCAAAGAATTTACCATGCCTGCCCGAGAATGTTATAGCGGGGCTGACGCAGCTGCAGTCTCTTTCCCTCCACGCCTGCGATTCCATCGGGATTCTCCCAGAGAGCATCTGCTTCCTCCCTCTCTCCTCCCTCTGCATCTCCTCCTGCCCCTCCCTCACCTCACTCCCACACCACATCGGCGCCTTGTCCCACCTGCAAACCCTAAAGCTCCTCTCCCTTGATAATATCCGGGATCTGCCCGAAAGCCTGGGTAATCTACCCCGGTTGAAAACGCTCGAGCTGGTCCTGCCCACGCTGCAGCATCTGCCCGAGAGATTGTGTGAAAGCAACCTGCCAGCGTGCCTGGAAAAGCTGAGCCTGACCAACTGTTATCAACTAAAGGAGCTTCCTCCCTCACTGTACAAGCTGACGCGTTTAGAGTCCCTCCATGTCGAGTCATGCTCCGAAATAGAGTCTCTGAAGCCTCTGACCTCTCCAAACCCTCCTGATGGCTCCGGAAGTGGGTTGGAATGGTGCAGTCTGGCTGACAAGGCGGTCATCGGTGCTCTCTGCACTGCTGCACTCTTTGCCGTTATGGTGCTGATCTCCCAACCGCTTCTCACCATGCGAGACCGGATAGAACCGTCCTCTGCTGCCACGCTCACTGCCACCGGTGCAAGAAGTGGCAGTGCTTTTGTCAACGCCGCGTCGCTGCTTCTTGTCGTGGTGCTGCTGCTGATATCACATGTGCCCAGTGCGTGGCTCTATCCAGCCATGCTGCTCGCTGCTGCTCTGCTGGTGTTCTCACACCTATATGCTGCTGCCTCTGCCCCTTCTGCTGGCCCTGTTTCTGCTCCTAACTTTCCCGCTGCCTCTGCCCCTCCCGCTGCTCCTGCGAGCGGATCTACCGGTACCCCTGTCTTTGATTCTGCAGCAAACGGCACAGAACAACACCCAGGCCTAGTTTCCCTCGCCATACTTAAAGTTTCCTACTGCACACGTATCTCCTCTCTCCCAGAAAACTTCTCCTTCCCTGCCCTCCACACGCTCACCCTGTATTGCCTTGGCAATCTGGAAAATCTCCTGGACTTATCCAGCAGGCAGCTGCCCCAACTGCAGCATCTGGAGTTGGAGGGGGTGGGTGTGGAGGCGGAACCATGGCTGCTAGACTGCTTTACCGGTGGCTGGTCGGGGAGAATGCAATTGCTGCTGCGAGTCAAAACTCTGTTTGTGCTTCTGCAGGTGGTGGAAGGATTTCTGCATATGACTGTGTCGCTGATGGGGGGGGTTTGTTCAGTGCTGCAGGGTGCTTGCACTTGGTTGGCTGGGCTTGCATGGAATTTATGCAGGTTAGCGTATGGGTGGTGCGTAGGGGAGGTGGAAGAAAACAGCCCGCTTGTTGTGAGTCACGACTGGAGATGATTGTAACATGTAATGTACAGGTTAATGTACAGACAGACCCCTCTTGTGAATTTGTCAGAATTTCAAGGTTGATCTGTGCCAGCGAAGCAAATGGTCCGCGAGAAATCAGAACACTAAGAATTAATTCACACACGGCACTATCCATCGCTCATGGTTCTCTCTGTACGAGCAACAAGCACACGGATCCCCTTGATACGCACCCCTCACATACACCCTCCCCTCACTGTCATTCCTACAAATCTTCTTCTCAAAACGGTGCCGGAACTCTTTTGAAGGCTTCATGACCTTACCGCCCATCCACTTGTGATTGAAATGGTGCACACATTGGAGAGATGGCAGCAGCCACAGCGCCTCTGGTAGCACCTTTACGCTCGTGTCAACAATATACACGCTAGAGAGACAAGGAAGGAAAGACGAGTTGGAACCAAGGTCTCGGCGTGCTTTCGCCTCCCTGGAGAAACTCAAGGGACAGCGGAGTGGGGCTGACAAGGCCGATAGGAAAAAATTCTTCCCCTTTTGGGCTGTGACAGAAGTGCAGCTGCTGAAATCACCTGCTAATGTGCACATTTCAGCTTCAGGAGGAGAATCCCCCTCCACATTGTCGCACCGTAACGCATCGCACTTCACCGCTTCACTGGTCACCCTCCCCTCCACCCCATCCACACTACATGCCTCCATAGCACCATTGCAAAACGAAAGCAAATCCAGATCTTGAATGCTGAGGCAGGAGCGAATCGCGAGGGAGGAGAGAGAGGACAGAGCGGAGGGGACGTTGTGAGGGAGGGATTTCAGCTGCGAGCAGCCATGGATGACTAGGGTTTGCAGGTTGGAGAGCAGGGAGAGGGACGGAGGAAGCTCCTCAAGCTTCCACAGAAGTGACACGGTCAGCCTGCGAAGGTTTTTAAGCTGCCCGAGTGGAGGGAGAGAGTCCAGATGGCGGAGTCCCACCAGACGAAGGCTTTCGAGAGCGGGCAGCCATATCTGGCCTTGGCAAGGGGAGCCGACCGGGCCGGGCAGGTCTCGAAGAGCCGTGCACTGCTCCAGTTCCAGGTGACGGAGGTTTGAGAGCTGCCCGAAGGAGTCGGGCAGGTTGGATAAATGATACACCCAGATCATGCGAAGGGTCTGCAGTTGGGAGAGTGATCCAAAATTATGGGGAAGGGCGGTGAGAGATGCACAGTTATAAAGCTCCAGCAGTTCTATTCGGAGCTGCCCGAAAGAGTCGGGCAGTGACACCAAACACGTGCAGTCCCTCAACCGCAGCTGCTGAAGGCTGGCCAAGCTGCCCATCCTCTCGGGCAGCTGACTCAACTTCCTCAGTCTAAGCCAGAGCACTTGTAGCAGGGGCAGGTCACAGATTTCCTCGGGCAGGGCAGAAACTTTTTCCGAGGTGACCTCCAAGTGGCTAAGCATCTTCAGTGCGCCAACACACGCAGGCAGCGCCTGCAAGCACCAGCTGTTGACTCTTAGGTAAGTGAGCGCACTTAAACACTGTAAGTGTGAAGCACATGCAGTCAGAGAAGTTAGGGATGACTCCCGCTGCCTCCTAATCCGAGCACTTATTAAGTCCAGGCTGGTACCGCTATCACCCCTTGTAGGCATCAAATTCTGCCCCTGCGCCTGCCTCCTTTCCTCCGCTTCCCCGCAGCCTCCCCTTCCGCCTTCCCCACCCCCCTCCGCCCCCGCCAGCGCATGCTTTCCGCCTTCCCCCCAGCACCATGCGCCACTGTCCCCCAAGTCGAGCGCGGAGAGGTTGGTGAGGCGGGAGACGGCGGGCGGAAGCGCGGATATTGCGCTCAGGGAGAGCAGGCGCAACGACTCCAGGCGCGGGCATCCGCGGAAGAGCGCGGAGAGTCCGGCGGCGGAAACTCGGCCCTCCGCGCGAGATTGGTGAGCGAGAGCGAAGCTCTTCAGATGCGGACACGTGTCAGAGATCCGACGGAGCAGCTCGTCTTGAAGGATTGGAGAATCGAACGGTGGAATGATAACATTTTCCGCAATATCTAGATACGTGATTGTAGGGAAAGTTCTCAAAGCGCACAGGAGGTCATCCGGGGTAATCTCCCTCGTTATTGTCACATGGGAGAGCGAGAGGCGGAGGAGGCGGCACCAGCGCTTGCAGACCAGATTCGTCTGCAAGGCGAGGTGGATCGAGCGACGCGAGACGAGGCGAAGCACCACCGCGAGAACGTCGTCTGGAAGTTCGTTCACGGGAAAAAGAACGAAATGCGGCTCATCTTGTGAGTCGTAACCCGAATCCGACGGTGAGGATTGCGAGAAAAAAGCGTTGATATTGGCAGTGAGGAATGCCATGGTGGGAATACAGCAAGCGAGAAAAACGGCTACTAGGTGAGTGGGTTTGTGTGCCTCCCTTGCCTTAGATTCTAGTCGAGCTGTGGAGACCCAAAAACGTTATGCTCATAATAACCACTTATCCCCGGTACAAGGTGTAAGTACGCCAGTATATTAGAATTAAACCTGATTCACCAATGGATGTATGACATCTGTAAGTACTACCACAAATACCATCATGCATCCCATGTAGCTAATACAAAATCGCGACAATGCACACACGGGTAGCTATAATTCCTAGAGTAAACAAACCCTCCTTGCACGCTCTCGCACGAATACCTGGAAAACCCGTACACCTCCGGCAATGAAAACACCGGAAAACCAAACCACCCCCCATTTCGAAAGTGTACAGTCTGTAGTGACTCCACATGTAGAAGAGATGGTGGAAGGGACTTCATGCCACAATCAAACACAAGCACATGCCGTAACGTGTCCGTGCCGCCCCTGCTGGCCTTCCCCTCCTCACTATCCAGACTGCACAAGCTTGTGCACTCAATGAGTGCCACCTTGGACAGGTTCCGAAGACCTGAGATTGTGCCACGTGGCAGGGATGCCAGGTTGGCACATTGGTGAATGACCAGCAGTTCGAGGGATGGCAGTTGTGGGAGAGAGGCAGGGAGGTACTCTAGATTGGGCAGCTGAGAAAGCATTAGCTTGCGCAGGGATTTCAGCTGCCCGAGAGAATCGGGCAGGACAGTGAAATTGTCCAGTCTGACCAGCCTGAGAAGCTCCAGCTTTGGCAGGCAGCCTAGATCTTCGGGCAAGGCAAGGATCCCAGTGTGGTCCGTCATCTCTAGTATCACTAACGAGGACAGCCCTAACGAGGACGAAGGAAACTGCCTCCCCACACTCCAGTGGGAGTAGTTCCCTGCCAGATTCCCCTCCTGCTGTTCCCCCCCTTCCCATGGCCTCCCTTCCTCTTGCTGCTGCTGCTGCTGCTGCTGCTGCACCACCCCCTCTTGCATCTCATCCGCTCTCTCCTCCTCCTCCTCCTCCTCATCTTCCTGCATGCGCCCACCCAACCCAGTACGCAACCCAATAGGCCGCGCCCTCTGTTGATCCTGCCCCTGCTCCTGACTCACATTCTGATGGGGGACGGAAAAGGATCCTCCAGAAACGCCTCCCCGAGCAACCGACGAAGACGCTTGGGAAGGGGAGGGAGGCGCAAGCGATGCAGAGGCGGTGCCAGGCGGAAGGGATTCGTGGGACGGGCGGGGTGGTGGAGGGAGGAGTTGCGCGGTGAGGGGGGGCACGTGGGGGAGGTCCGGGAAAGCTGCAATGCTGAGTCGTTCCAAGCGGGCTAGGAGGTAGAGGGAGAAGGGCAGGCGCACCACCCCGCATGTGCTCATGTCGAGGACTCTCAGCTTCGGCAGGTGCCCGAAGAGTTCGGGCAGCGTGCGCAGGCTCGAAAGCTCGTGCAGTTTTAGGGTTTCCAAAGCGGGCAGGAAGCTGAAACTTTCTGGGAGAGACCGGAGCCGGTCGCAGAGGTGTATGCTGAGGAAGGATAGGCTGGAAAGCTGCCCGAACGAGTCGGGAAGTTTGGACAGACTCTCGCAGTTTGTCAGCCACAATCGCTGCAGGTTTTTCAACCTGCCCAGGCTCTCGGGCAGCTCCTCCAAAGACTTGGCCTCGAGCTTCAGCACCGCCAACGACCCTAGCTGCCCGAAATTGCCGGGCAGCGAACTAAGGACCTCTGAATGGATTTCTAGATGCTCCAAACGTGTCAGCTCGCCGATGCTCCACGGTAGGCTCTCAAAGCAGCGACTGCTCACAACCAGCTTCCTCATACAGCTTATCGAATCTAGGCTTATATCGGGTTCAATCAGTTTCGTGAACGTATCCAATCCGCGCCAGGCTGGGTCGTCCCCTAACTCGAGCACTTCTAGCTGGGAGAGGAGCGTGAGGGACGCGGGTAGCGCGGAGATCCCGCTGAGGGAGAACAGGCGGAGCTGCTGCAGGCGTGCGCACCCGCGGAAGAGCGCGGAGAGCCCTGCGGGGGAGAAGCGCGCGCGGAACTGGTACCCGATGAGCAGGCGCGTGAGATTGGGGCAGCGCGCGGAAATTCCGCGCAGGAGTTCGTCTGTCGCGTGCGGAACGGTGTTCTCCGCTATATCGAGTTGTGACAATGTCGGGAATGTGTCTACGGCGGAGAGAAGCTGCGCGGAGTGCACGGCGCGCGGAACCTTGAGGTAGACGCGCGCGAGGCACGTGAGACGGAACCAACGCTTGCACACAAAGGCGTGCGCGAGGGAGTTGCGGGAGAGATGCTGGAGGACCAATGAGAGCACGTCGTCAGGCAGACGGTCCAACGGGAATGCCGGATGCTGATTTGCCAGATGGCAGATAGATGCGGGACGATCCGACGGTGCATCTATACGGTGTGGATGATGACGAGATCTTGAGACCGTCGGATCTCGCACTCGTTCCAAGCCGTCGATTCCTTGTAACACGGAACTCGAGGCGATTGCGATAGATGCCATCTAAGCACGCTTTAGTAAAAAACACGTCGTTAGCGAGCGTTGGATTCGAGTAACAGAGGAACGCTAAGGAAATCGAGAGACTGTGGCAGCTGTAGTATTCTGGAGGATGTTAGTGCTAGTGAGCGATCACTTTGCGTCCGCCTGCTCCGCTGGCACCCTTCCCCCTATCTACGCAAACTCTGCGCGAAAGTCCGCGCAGATTCTGCGCAGGAGGACGCAGTTATCTAGTGCCGAATGTCACGAGCGTTGTCGTGTGCCGAGTGTCTAGTGCTCTGTGCCGTGCGGCGAAAGCTTTCGCGAAGATGGTATTCACGAAAGCTTGTAGTGGTACTCGTTACGACACGACCACCATTAAGATGAGCAGTAGATACCTTCAAAGTGGAGACACAAAGTGATATCAATATTAGTAGAACGATTTGAAAGAATGGGACATTGCATCCAAGGTGTAAGGATAACACTGCAAAAAGTGCAATGCGTACAATAGCATAAATCACAGCAACAGCTACATCACCGTTGATGTGAAACAGCGCGCCTTATTTATTTGTAGGTTGATCAGTGGGATTGGTAATGGAACGAACCCACTCGGGCGGTCTCATACTAATGTCACTCCAAACGGCAGACACTCATGGCACACCACTCGCAAAGTGCACCTGCGGACAGAAAGAAAAACCAAACAATCGAAATCAGTCACCACAAGCATAAAACCAAAACGTTTTTTCCACAAAAGAGCAGGAGTGACAAAAACTCACTGGTTGATACCCGTCTACCTGCAGCTCGTACTTGGGTGAGTACAAGTGCACCTGCGTGGTGTGGTGGTGGCTCCCAAGAGAACCACTGACAGATCCATGGCAGCACCAGAGCCCGTTGTTCCCTTCCCTCCCGTTTCAGTTTCAACTCACACGAAGCATCTCACGAGTGACAACACTGACCCGTTGGTACCCATCTGTGTGCAGCTCATACTTGATGATCGCTGAATCGTCCCATAATCCGCTCAAAGTCGCTCTGCTTCAGTGTGCCACCAGAATCATCGACACTGCCGCATCGTCCTCTGTGCGCATGTACACCACCACCACCCGCCAAGGTGACCTTTGAGGCTTCCTCCTCAATGCGAGTACCCACCCCCACTACCTGCCGTGACTTTTGAGTCGACTCAGGAACCATTGATACTGCTGTCTCTTTCTCTGTGCGCGTGTCCACCACCACCTCCCGCCGCCCGCCCCCTGCCAACTCCCTCCTCCCCCCGATTCCCCTCCTCCCTCCCCACTCACGCCCCCTCACCCCCCCCCACTCACACCACCTCCCCTCACTTCCGTCCCACCCGCCTCCCCAATCGTCCCCAATCCCTCTCCCCCACCCCCTACCTGCTGGGATGGCAGCAGCTGGTGCAGCTAATTCAAGTCCATCTCAAGCACCTGGCGGAGGGAGGAATGGGGATGTGGGATGGTGAGAACAGGGGGGAACGCGTGGCGCAGGGGAACAAGTGAGAGGGTAGATTTAGCAGCTGGAGCAGCTCATTCACACTCATCTCGGGCACCTGGCATGGAGATGAGGGGAGAAGAAGACAAGAGTGGGAGGGGGTGAGCTGGTGAGGGGGCGGCAGTAGCTAGTGCAGCTCAGTCACACTCATCTCAGGCACCTGGCATGAAGATGAGGGGGAGGTACCGCTGCTCTGGGGGCTGAGAGGTGGAGGCGCCGCTGCTCTGGGGGGTTGTGAGGAGAGGTGCAGCTGCTCTGGGGGGTTGTGACGGAGAGGCGCAGCTGCTCTGGGGGGTTGTGAGGGAGAGGCACCGCTGCTCTTGGGGGCTGTGAGGAGGAGGCGCCGCTGCTCTGGGTGGTTGTGAGGAGGAGGCGCCGCTGCTCCGGGGGGCTGTGAGGGGGAGGCGCCGCTGCTCTGGGGGGTTGTCAGGAGAGGCGCAGCTGCTCTGGGGGGTTGTGACGGAGAGGCACCGCTGCTCTGGGGGGCTGTGAGGAGGAGGCGCCGCTGCTCCGGGGGGCTGTGAGGAACAGGCGCCGCTGCTCCGGTGGGCTCTGAGGAAGACGCGCCGCTGCTCTGGGGTGTTGTGAGGGCGAGGCGCCGCTGCTCTGGGGGACCCGGTCGCAAGTACGCGCCCGGTCGCAAGTGTGTGCCCGGTCGGGTGAATGGGTGGGTGGGTGGGTGTTTGGGTGAATGGGTGGGTGGGTTGGTGGATGAATGGGTGGATGGGTGGATGGGTGGGTGGATAATTGGATGGGTGGATGGGTGGGTGGGTGAATGGGTGGATGGGTGGGTGTATGGGTGGATGGGTGGGTGTATGGATGGATGGATGGGTGGGTTGATGGGTGGGTGGATGGGTGGATGGGTGGGTGGGTTGGTGGGTAGGTGGGTGGGTGGGTGAAGGGGTGAGAGGATGGGTGGACGGGTGGGTTAGATGGTGGATGAATGGGTGGGTGGGTGGGTGGGCGGGTGGATGGGTGGGTGGATGGGTGGATGAATGGGTGGGTGGGTGGACGCAGGGGTGGATTGGTTGGTGGATGGGTGGGTGGACGGGTGGATGGGTAAATGGGTGGATGGGTGGATGGATGGATGGGTGGAAGGGTTGGTAAGTGGGCTGGTGGACGGGTGGGTGGGCGAGGGGACGTGAGTGGGCGGGTGGAGCGTGAATAGGTGGGTTGGTGGGAGTGGGTTGGTGGGTGAATGGGTGGGTGGATGGGTGGGGGAGCGGGTGAATGGGTGGGCGGGTAGGTGGGCGGGCGGGCGTGTGGGTGGGTGGGTGGGTGGTTGGATGGGTGGGTGGGTGGGTTGGCGGATGGGCGGAATGGTGGGTGGGTGGGTGGGTGAATGGTGGGTGGGTGGGTGAACGGTGGGTGGGGTAACAGGTGGGCGAGCGGATGGGTGAACGGGTGGGCGGGTGGATGGGCGGACGGGTGGGCTGGCAGGTGGGCCAGTGGGCGGGCGGGTGGGCGGGTGTGCGGGTGGGTGGGCGGGTGAATGGGTGGACGGGTGGAGGGTGGGTGGGTTGGTGGGTGGATGGATGGGTGGGTGGGTGGAAGGGTGGGTGGATGGGTGGGTAGATAGGTGGGTGGATGGGTGGTTGGGTGCTTGAGGGGATGGAAGGGTGGATGGGTCGGCGGGTGGATGGATCGAGTGGGCGGGTGGATGGATGGAGTGAGCAGGTGGATGGATGGAGTGGGCGGGTGGATGGATGGAGTGAGCGGGTGGATGGATGGAGTGGGCGGGTGGATGGGTGGAGTGGGCGGGTGGATGGATGGAGTGAGCGGGTGGATGGATGAAGTGGGCGGGTGGATGGATGGAGTGAGCGGGTGGAGGGGTGGAGTGGGCGGGTGGATGGATGGAGTGAGCGGGTGCGCGGATGGAGTGGGCGGGTGTGCGGGTGGGTGGATGGAGTGGGCGGGTGGATGGATGGAGAGGGCGGGTGGATGGATGGAGTGGGCGGGTGGATGGGTGGAGTGGGCGGGTGGATGGATGGAGTGAGCGGGTGGATGGATGGAGTGGGCGGGTGGATGGATGGAGTGGGCGGGTGGATGGATGGAGTGAGCCGGTGGATGGATGGAGTGGGCGGGTGGGTGGATGGAGTGAGCGGGTGCGCGGATGGAGTGGGCGGGTGCGCGGATGGGTGGATGGAGTGGGCGGGTGGATGGATGGAGTGGGCGGGTGGATGGATGGAGTGGGTGGATGGATGGATGGAGTGGGCGGGTGGATGGATGGAGTGAGCGGGTGGATGGATGGAGTGGGCGGGTGGATAGATGGAGTGAGCGGGTGGATGGATGAAGTGGGCGGGTGGATGGATGGAGTGGACGGGTGGATGGATGGAGTGGGCGGGTGGAGGGGTGGAGTGGGCGGGTGGAGGGGTGGAGTGGGCGGGTGGATGGATGGAGTGGGCGGGTGGATGGATGGAGTGGGCGGGTGGATGGGTGGAGTGGGCGGGTGGATGGGTGGAGTGGGCGGGTGGATGGGTGGAGTGAGCGGGTGCGCGGATGGAGTGGGCGGGTGCGCGGAAGGATGGATGGGGTGGGCGGGTGGATGGATGGAGTGGGCGGGTGGACGGGTGGAGTGAGCGGGTGGATGGGTGGAGTGGGCGGGTGGATGGATGGAGTGGGCTGATGGATGGATGGAGTGAGCGGGTGGATGGATGGAGTGGGCGGGTGAATGGGTGGAGTGGGCGGGTGGATGGATGGAGTGAGCGGGTGCGCGGATGGAGTGGGCGGGTGCGCGGATGGAGTGGGCGGGTGCGCGGATGGGTGGATGGAGTGGGCGGGTGGATGGATGGAGTGGGCGGGTGGATGGATGGAGTGGGCGGGTGGATGGGTGGAGTGGACGGGTGGATGGATGGAGTGAGCGGGTGCGCGGATGGAGTGGGCGGGAGCGCGGGTGGGTGGATGGAGTGGGCGGGTGGATGGATGGAGTGGGCGGGTGGATGGATGGAGTGAGCGGGTGGATGGATGGAGTGGGCGGGTGGATGGATGGAGTGAGCGGGTGGATGGATGGAGTGGGCGGGTGGAGGGGTGGAGTGAGCGGGTGGATGGGTGGAGTGAGCGGGTGGATGGATGGAGTGGGCGGGTGGAGGGGTGGAGTGGGCGGGTGGATGGATGGAGTGGGCGGGTGGATGGGTGGAGTGGGCGGGTGGATGGGTGGAGTGGGCGGGTGGATGGATGGAGTGGGCGGGTGGAGGGGTGGAGTGGGCGGGTGGAGGGGTGGAGTGGGCGGGTGGATGGATGGAGTGGGCGGGTGGATGGATGGAGTGGGCGGGTGGATGGATGGAGTGAGCGGGTGGATGGATGGAGTGGGCGGGTGGAGGGGTGGAGTGAGCGGGTGGATGGGTGGAGTGAGCGGGTGGATGGATGGAGTGGGCGGGTGGAGGGGTGGAGTGGGCGGGTGGATGGATGGAGTGGGCGGGTGGATGGGTGGAGTGGGCGGGTGGATGGGTGGAGTGGGCGGGTGGATGGATGGAGTGGGCGGGTGGAGGGGTGGAGTGGGCGGGTGGAGGGGTGGAGTGGGCGGG